TTTGAAAATCTTCTTCTCTGCTCCTGGGTATTAAGTAAACCAACTAAGTGCATAGTTATGATGAGCAAGAGTGCCTCTACCAAAATTGTGAATTTTATGGCCCCAGGGTCAGGGGTTCTAGTGTTAGGGCGGGGCTCTATAGATTATATAGTGAAAATTCATGAATTCTTTGAAAATCTTCTTCTCTGCTCCTGGGTATTAAATAAACTAACTAAGTGCATAGTTATGATGAGCAAGAGTGCCTCTACCAAAATTGTGAAATTTATGACCCCGGGGTCAGGGGTTCTAGTGCTAGGGTGGGGCTAAATTAGTATATAGTGAAAATGCATTATTTCTTTGAAAATCTTCTTCTCTGCTCCTGGGTATTAAATAAACTAACTAAGTGCATAGTTATGATGAGCAAGAGTGCTTCTACCAAAATTGTGAATTTTATGGCCCCAGGGTCAGGGGTTCTAGTGTTAGGGTGGGGCTCTATTGATTATATAATGGAAATACATGAATTCTTTGAAAAAAATTCTTTTCTGCTCCTAGGAATTAAATAAACTAAGTACATAGTTATGATAAGCAAGAATAACTCTTCCAAAATTTTGATTTTATGGCCCTAGGGTCAGGGGTTCTAGTGATAGGGTGGGGCTCTATTGATTATATAGTGAAAATACTTTAAATCTTTGAAAATTTTCTTCTCTGCTCTTGGGTATTAAGCAGATGAACTACCTATGTAGTTATGATGAGCAAGGACCCTAATCTTCCAGAATTGTGAATTTCAAGGCCCCAGGGTCAGGGGTACCATAGGAGGGGGTGTACTTAAATACTGAAACTGGATGAATTGTTTGAGATCTGCTCCTTGGTATTAATCAAATATTTTTGAAAAGCAAGGGTGCCTTTTCAAAAATTGTGCAATGTGTGGATCTAGGCCTAAGGGTCAGGGGTTCATGTGTGATAGGGGCATTACTGATTATTGCTGAATATTACTGATTATTTGAAATGCATTTTTTGTTCCCCCACCCTGCCTATGGGTATTAAGTAAACAAACTAAGCAACTGCTAAGTGTATTGTTATGATGATCAAATGGTGCCTCTTTCAAAATTGTAAATGCCATAGCATCTTGCTTAAAACATTAATCGAATTAAATCGCTGGAAAGTTGTTGCATAATGCTCAGGTGACCTATAAGGCCCATGGGCCTCTTGTTCATAATTATCTCCCCTTGGAAAAGGGTGTGGCCCTTCATTTGAACAAACTTGAATCCCCTTTACCCAATGATACTTTGTAGCAAGTTTGGTTGAAATTGGCTCAGTGGTTCTTGAGAAGAAGATGAAAATGTGAAAAGTTTACAACAACGACAACGACAACAACGACAGACAACGACAGACAACTGACAAATTTTGATCAGAAAAGCTCACTTGAGCCTTTGGCTCAGGTGAGCTAAAAATGTACAGCTGCAGATACACCATATTTAGCATTTGTGTAATATTTCCAGTTTGCATATCATCAATACCCTTATTGAAAAATGAAAATTGCTATATATTATTGTTGGGTTTGATATTGCAATATACCAATATATTGATAATATTGCACACCCCTAATGAAGACGTAAAGGGTAATAGACTACAAAATACAAATGTGGATTATGTCCTAGATACTTCACAACCATGCGGTCTGTGCTGTATTATTTATACATGATACACGTAAAAAGTATTACTTTTTTAACTGCATCAAAATAATACAGCTTTTTGACCCAAGAATAGTACAGTACAGTACGAATAACATGGATAAGAGATATAATTTTTTTTCTGTTAATAAATATATGATACATTTTCAAGAAGTTTGTTTAGGTCACCTATTGCTATCCGTTTTCGTCCGTCGTGTGTTAACATTTGAACATTTTCAGCTTCTTCTCTGCAACCACTCAACCAATTTCAACCAAATTTGGCACAAAGCATCTATGGGTGAAGGGGAACAAGAATTGTGAATTTCATGATCCCTATCCCCCTGAGGCCTGAGGGGTGGGGCCAAAACCACTAAAATTAATGCAATCTTTAAAAATCTTCTTCTTTACTCCTGGACATCAAGCAGTCAAACTGTTTGGATGATTGTAAGCAGCATTGAGTCCTTTACCAAAATTGTTAAATTCATGGCCCTGGGGTCAGGGGTTCTAGTGCTAGGGCGGGGCTGAATAAGTATATAGTGAAAATGCATTAAATCTTTGAAAATCTTCTTCTCTGCTCCTGGGTATTAAATAAACTAACTAAGTACATAGTTATGATGAGCAAGAGTGCCTCTACTAAAATTGTGAATTTTATGGCCCCAGGGTCAGGGGTTCTGGTGTTAGGGCGCGGCTCTATTGATTATATAGTGAAAATACATGAATTCTTTGAAAATCGTCTTCTCTGCTCCTGGGTATTAGATAAACTAATTAAGTGCATAGTTATGATGAGCAAGAGTGCTTCTACCAAAATTATGAATTTTATGGCCCCAGGGTCAGGGGTTCTGGTGTTAGGGCGCGGCTCTATTGATTATATAGTGAAAATACATGAATTCTTTGAAAATTTTCTTCTCTGCTTCTGGTTATTAAATAAACTAACTAAGTACATAGTTATGATGAGCAAGAGTGCCTCTACTTAAATTATGAATTTTATGGCCCCAGGGTCAGGGGTTCTGGTGTTAGGACAGGGCTCTATTGATTATATAGTGAAAATACATGAATTCTTTGAAAATCTTCTTCTCTGCTCCTAGGTATTAAATAAACTAAATAGTACATAGTTATGATGAGCAAGAGTGCCTCTACTAAAATTGTGAATTTTATGGCCCCAGGGTCAGGGGTTCTGGTGTTAGGGCGCGGCTCTATTGATTATATAGTGAAAATACATGAATTCTTTGAAAATTTTCTTCTCTGCTTCTGGGTATTAAATAAACTAATTAAGTGCATAGTTATGATGAGCAAGAGTGCTTCTACCAAAATTATGAATTTTATGGCCCCAGGGTCAGGAGTTCTGGTGTTAGGGCGGGGCTCTATTGATTATATAGTGAAAATACGTGAATTCTTTGAAAATTTTCTTCTCCGCTCCTGGGTATTAAGCAGATGAACTACCTATATGGTTATGATGAGCAAGGGCCCTAATCTTCCAGAATTGTGAATTTCAAGGCCCCAGGGTCAGGGGTACCATAGAGAGGGGGGCTGTACTTATATACTGAAAATGAACTAATTGTTTGAAATCTGCTTCTTGGTATTAATCAAATACTTTTGAAAAGCAAGGATGCCTTTTTAAAAATTGTGCAATGTGTGGATCTAGGACAAAGGGTCAGGGGTTCATGTATGGTAGGGCCACTACTAATTATTTCTGAATATTACTGATTAGTTGAAATGCATTTTTTGTTCCCCTACCCTGCCTATAGGTATTAAGTAACCAAACTAAGCAACTGCTAAGTGTATAGTTATGATGATAAATGGTGCCTCTTTCAAAATTGTGAATGCCATAGCATCTGGCTTAAAACATGAATCAAATTCAATCACTGGAAAATTGTTGCATAATGCTCAGGTGACCTGTAAGGCCCGTGGGCCTCTTGTTTCCAGACTTTTCCATTTCTAACAACTTGTTCAAAGTTTGACATTGAGAAAATTTAGTCGAACAAAGTTGTGTTGTGAAAAATAAGATTATTTAAAGCACAATATCAATACAACTCAGGTTAATTTAAATGATGAAGGAACATAAGTCAATTTGAGAAAAAAAAAATGCTGTCAATGATGATGCAGTGTTGTTATGCCCCCTGCAAACGAAATTTGGCGGGGTATATAGGAATCACCTTGTCCGTCTCTCCGTCTGTTTGTCTGTCTAGCTGTCTGTCTGTCCATCCGTCCATCTGTCTGTGCAAACGTGTCCGGTCCATATCTTTCTTACAGAGGGACATTAGAATCTACTACTCCACACAAAGATTGCGCATGACCTAAGGGTGTGTCATAACCTTGACCCAAGGTCATTTGGGGAAGTTCAAGGTCACTGGAAGAAAAATTTCATTATTCGTGTCTGGTCCATATCTTTCTGATGGATAAACTTGGTAGGTTCTCATTTCACACAAAGATTGCCCATAACCCAAGGGTGGGTCATGACCTTGACCCAAGGTCATTTGGGGAACTTTAAGGTCACTGGAAGCAAAATTTTACAATTCCTGTCCGGTCCATATCTTTCTTATGGATAAACTTGGTAGGTTCTCATTTCACACAAAGATTGCCCATAACCCAAGGATGTGTCATGACCTTGACCCAAGGTCATTTGGGGAAGTTCAAGGTCACTGGAAGAAAAATTTCATTATTTATGTCCGGTCCATATCTTTCTCATGGATACTTGGTAGGTTCTCATTTCACACAAAGATTGCCCATAACCCAAGGGTGTGTCATGACCTTGACCCAAGGTCATTTGGGGAAGTTCAAGGTCACTGGAAGAAAAATTTCAGAATTCGTGTCCAGTCCATATCTTTCTTATTGAAAAACTTACTTCTGAAAAACCCAGCGGGGGGTATTTTGTCCCATTTGGACAGTTCTAGTTTACTTATAACTAAATCAAAACTCGAAATGTTTAGAGATTTCATGAATTATTTTTTCAGATAGTTGATCAAAACATGCAGCCCATTAATTCATCTGCATGCAAAAGTTGTATTATGGGAGTAATGAGTGTTTTCTGGCAATTGTTTGTGTCAATTATTTTAGTTTTCATGAAAATCCTGAACATTCATTACCTTGAAATAGACATTTTTTCTGTCTTAAATTGAAAATTATCAATATTTTATATATATTCATGAATATATATATATATATATATATATATATATATATATATATATATATATATATATATATATATATATATATATATATATCATGAATAAAATTCATGAACCATCTGCATGAACCAGGCATGAACCAGTCATGCCTAATGATACATCATGAATGCATGTTCAAGAACAATTCATAATAGTTCCTGAAATTATGAATTTGATTTTGCAGGGGAGTTATTATAAAGGTGGGAATCAGTTAAATAACAGAATGGCTAAAGTTACTGAGGTGAGCAATATGGCACATGGGCCTTTTGTTTTCTTTCCCTTTGTTATAAGTACAAACAAGTAGAGCTACAGTTTCAACAGGGACTTCTGGTTATTTATTTATTTAAAATTGATTATTTAGTATCAATTTATATAGGAGGCAGCAAAGGAAAGAGAGAAGAGAGGAACTGAAAAACCAACCAAACTAAGTTTTTCTATTAAACCAAAAGCCAAGGAGAAAGAGCATAAGCATAAAGAAAAGAAGAAGAAGAAAATTTTTGATAATGAAAGCAGTGAAAATGATGGTAAAGAGATAAAAGATTTTTTAGGGTTACAAAGCATAATTTTGATGAAAAATATCAAACAAGCACTTATTCCTAAGGGTTTGGTTAACTTGGTTAGGCCATTCCAAGTATTTTCTCTGTTTAGCGTCCACTCATCTTTCAAAAACCTACCTACCTATTCGCAAAAAACACACAAGCCAAAACATAAAAGACAAGCTTAAAAGTCATAAAAATGACGCCCTTCAAATGATTTGATCTAACTAAACTGCATTAACTGCATAATTTAATACAAGAAATATCTATTCTTAAGCAAAAACAACGTATTAAATGCTTACAATACACCCAATATAACTTACTGTACAGAATTATTTGGAGAAATTTACAAAATTCAGAAATTTCGACTAAATTTATCAATTTCAGGACACCTGTTGATGTGTGTTTTTTCTCATATGGGGTGTCAAAAACCAAGGCGCACGCGGACGCTAAACATAGAAAAAACTTGGAATCGCCTTATTAATAATGCATTGTTTGAATATATCTGAGAGATAAAATTATAATGAATAATAGAGCTGGGTATTGCGATTGAAAAATTGTATCGTGATATATTGCAATATTAAATTTTGTATTGCTGCTGCAGCAGCAATATATTGCAATATTATACTTACTTTTATTTTTACTTTTTTTCTATAAAGACATAACAAAAAATATAGTTTTTAGCTCACCTGAGCCGAAGGCTCAAGTGAGCTTTTCTGATCACATTTTGTCCGGCGTCCGTCTGTCCGTCTGTCTGTCTGTCCGTCTGTCTGTAAACTTTTCACATTTTCGACTTCTTCTAAAGAACCGCTGGGCCAATTTCAACCAAACTTTCCACAAAGTATCCTTGGGTGAAGGGGATTCAAGTTTGTTCAAATGAAGGGCCACGCCCTCATTCAAGGGGAGATAATTGGGAATAAATGAAAATTTGGTGGCATATTTTAAAAATCTTCTTCTCTAGAACCACTGTGCAAGGAAAGATGAAACTTATGGGGAAACATCCTCAGGTAGTGTAGATTCAAGTTTGTTCAAATCATGACCCCCCGGGGGTAGGGTGGGGCCAAAATGGCTGACCAAAGTTTTACATATAAATATATAGGAAAATTCTTTAAAAATCTTCTTCTCAAGAATAACAAAGCCATAATTCATCATATTTATATGGGAGCATTGTCAGGTAGTGTAGATTCAAGTTTGTTCAAATCATGACCCCCGGGGGTAGGGCGGGGCCACAATGGCCGACCAAAGTTTTACATATAAATATATAGGAAAATTCTTTAAAAATCTTCTTCTCAAGAATAACTAAGCCATAATTCATCATATTTATATGGGAGCATCCTCAGGTAGTGTAGATTCAAATTTGTTCCAATCATGACCCCCCGGGGTAGGGCGGGGCCACAATGGCCGACCAAAGTTTCACATAGTAATATATAGTAAAATTCTTTAAAAATCTTTTTCTCAAGAATAGCAGAACCATAATTGATTGTATTTATATGGAAGCATCCTCAGGTAACTTGTAAATTCAAGTTTGTTTTTTTCCTTTGTTTGTTTGTAGAATTATGTATTTGAATCGGGTTCGATATACGATTAATTTGAAAACGAGGCTTTTGTTGCGGCCATATTGGAAGAAGAAAGCAGTCATCCAATAGTCATTTTACTTTTAGTGAATATCGTGTCAAAAATCGGTTTAATATTAGTTGTATCAAGGTAATGTGATGTATAGATTTATTTAAGAGAAGTACACGACCGTTCTTGTAGAAATTATTGAAACAGACAATGTAAATGATAAAGTATTTGTGTATTAAATATACGCGGTGAAAACCAACAACCCCGACTGAGAACTGATTTAAAATCTAATAAGAATCGTAAGTCATGGCCTAACAATCAAACTAATGACTCAGTTTGAAAGTTAGAAACACGAAAACGGTGTGATTTTTATGACTTGCTTGAAATAATGTCGGAAACTTTCCGAATCACCAATATATCATAATGTAGGCTTATTTATTTCTTATTCTTGGCAGAGTTTCAAATCAGACAATCGAAGATTTATTTAATTAAAATTTGGTCATTTTCAGTGAAAATTAAAAAAATACTATTAAATTATTGTGCGGCTTTTGTCTGTGTAATGCATATAGCAAGGTAAAATTTATTTTCAATGGCTTTAATTGAGATTAAGATTTTACTCTGTCAGTTTTTCAATGCAACAGTCTTGAATTGTTATAGAAGTACACCAGGACCATCACTTTACACAAGGAAGGAGAATCAGGAAGGATTTCTTTGCATGTGTATATATTCAATTTCCTTTAAAATGTTATAGTATTAAATAAAAATAATTATGGTAAAAATGCAGGTGTTTTGTGATGTTTTAATGCATTTAGAAATAAATTTTCTGTTTTTTCCTAATAACTTTTTTTATGGTAGCCCAATTAAGTTCAAATTTGGTATGGTAATAATCAAAAAACATATTTTGATGCTAAGTTTGTCTCTCTATAGCTGGGGTGAGATTTAACTATGCATAAGAATGAATGGGCAACTTTTTTTATGGTTGCCCAATCAAGGTAGCTTTGGTATGGTAGTTCAGTAGGCAGAAATACATATTTTGATGCTAAGTTTGGTTCTTTTTGGAGCTGGGGTGGTGGGGTAGATTCCTTAACTTTATATAAGAATGCATTGGCAAAGAGAGATAATGCTGAAGATGTTCCCATTGTAAACTGAATGCTGCTATGAGTCATTTTAATTAGCTTTCCTCCTGAAGAAAATCCAAGCATTATCTTTATCTGTCACATTGAGATGAATTACCACCTCTGTCTGTCAAATGAAGTTTGTTTTGAAGTTAAGTCAATTTGGAATGCTATGAACACTCTGAAATGTGGATTTAAATATAAATTTTTATAATTTATTTTTGTTTAAAAGTTATGATTTCATTGAATTCTAAAAACAAGAAATAGATTAAAGAAGAGATTTTGATTTAATTTTTTTCACTTTATGTTAATTCAAGAATATTAGTAATTTTTAAGGTAGTTGTATAAAAACCCCATTCTATCATTAATACTGAAAAAGTTCTTATTGTAACTTAATATAGAAAAAAATGATGAAAAAAAATTAATCCTTTGTGGATTAATTATCTATGTTGCTGCAGAAAATTTAGTAGGCTTTTCTTAATCTGTCACTTTAAGATTAATGAAAACCTTTGTCTGCAACTGCTGTTTGTTTGAAGTTAAGGTCAAGCCTTCATGAGGCCTAGAAAAAAAATATGTTTGTTTCCGCTTTCGGGCTGAAGAAATATAGGGTAGGTAGGTAGGCAATTTTTTATTTTTTGAAATTTTTTTTTTGCTTCTTTAATCAAAACGTGTATAGAAGTAGCATTAGTTACAAAAAAAATCATGTTTTTAAGCATCTCTGTGACTAAAACTTATAATAGAAAGTTGACCCAAACTTCTTTCTGTCTTGAAAAGCTTGCAAAGTTGAAAACTTTAATACCCTGGGTGAAATCTTGCACATCATGGGACAAAAGCATTAAAAAAATATTTAGGGTCGGCACTATAAATTAGGGTCAATCGGGAAAGCGGAAACAAACATATTTTTTTTCTAGGCCTGATATTTGCATTGATTGAAGGCTGGCATTTTATATAACACAAGCTTCATAATTGTTTAAATGTACATTCAATGTTAAGTTGTTCTTTACTGCCTAATGTAAATACAAAGATATTATTTTCAGGTTTTTGAATATTCAGGAATTATCTTGAAATTTTAAGAATACAGTTGCTGTTGCTTATTTTTCGTATATTTTTTAATCACTCTGTAAACTGCACCCTTTTAATTCTACCCCATGGCGGGGCCCTTGCTGACTGGTCAGTTTTCTAGTTATGGTAAAAATGCAAGTGTTTTGTGATGTTTTAATGCATTTAAAAATAAATTTCAGCAGGTCCGGTAATGGTGGTATAATCACTAGATTTAGCTACGTAGCTTGATTTACCTACTTAGCTTTATTTACCTACCTGAGGTAGCTTTAGGCCTAGAAAAAAATATGTTTGTTTCTGCTTTCAGTCTGAAAAAATCTAGGGTAGGTAGTTAGGCAATTTTTTTTTTTTTTTTTTGTAAGTTTTTTCTTTGTTTCTTTAATCAAAACATGTATAGAAGAAATATTAATGACAAAAGAAATGTTGTTTTCAAGCATTTCTGTGACTTAAACTTATAATAGAAAGGTTAAAAGCTTGCAAAGTTGGAGACTCTAATTCCCTGGGTGAAATCTTGCACTCCCTGGTACAAAAGCATTAAAAAAAAATTATGGTCGGCACTATAAATTAGGGTCAGTTGGGAAAGCGGAAACAAACATATTTTTTTTTTAGGCCTTATTTAGCTACCAAATAGATTTATATCTGTGAAAAAAACATTTTCCTCAGAATGTGCAGAGAAATCTCATGTTGATGCAGTGATCATTTTAAATTTTTAACTCATCTAAAAACAATTCATGAAAAAGTCACTCATGAAGAAATGTCTTTTACAATCAAAGTTAGTTTTGGGGCTATGTATGCTTAGGCGTTGGAACCAGTAATCCCTCTTTTTTTTTTTTTTTTTTTTTTTTTTGCAAAGATAGACAATATATAGGCATTGAAAATTGGGATTTACTTTTTTTGGCTGGTTAAGTCCCCTTCCCCCACTTTCAATTTGCTTCTGACACCCATGGTATGACATTTGAAACAGTTACTCCTTGAATGAAATGACAGAGAAGTCCAGTTCTGGTTAAAATGAGCACATGTCTGTAATTATTCAGGCCAATGTGAAGTAATCATACTCAGCAATGCCTCACCACATGCAAAAGAGAGCTAGGACAGTTACCCAAACATTGGAATTACATGTTTTGCATTCATTTGTCCAAACGCAGCAATGTATAAGCTATATCTGCTTTGGATTGTTTTTAAAACCTCACTAGTATAAATATTCATTTTCTTGTGATTTTTTGTCTCTTTTTGTTAAAAATAAAATTTTTT